AAAAAGTGAGAACGATTTTCAACCATATCACCAATTGTCTCCAGTCACTGGTTTTCAGCATCCCGAGGACTCCAACTAGCCAGGAATTCTACACTTCCATACGTGGCTGGTTTAAACTAACTGTTGTGGATTTGACTGACTGATGAGGCCATGTTTTGGTGGGACGACCACTAGATTTTATCCAACCTGACAGTATGCCAGCTAACATCGCCTGTCGTCAAGGAAGGCGATAGCTAGCCTAACCACAATGTCACTTACCCCACCTAACGCGGGAGATAGAACGTAGGCACCTATGATCAAAGACAGCTAGCTGGCCTTACCTATCTTCCACTTTTAATGGCCCTATCTCACGACAATAAAGGAGGACACACGTTCTTTAATAGATAACCGGTTGGATATCACGTCTACACCAGAGATGACTTCAGTTGGCGAATCCCACACGAGCATTTTGAAATAGTGGTGAGATTTTGTCAGTGATCAGCCCGTTGGAAGTGATGTAACTTCCCAAATATAAGTGGAGTGATCAACAAACACACTCTACCACTTCCTTGTGACATGCTGTACCTCAATAAAATCCCGACTTTTATTACATTCAAGTTCATGACGGCCAACTAGCAGCCGCTAGTAGAGATTGAGATTTTTGGATTATCGATTTCCGTAGGGATCTAATGAACTGATCTTTTTTAAAATTATTCATTTGGTGACGGGTGATATTTTAGGGTCGAGGCGGCAGCAGCACCAGCATTCAAGGCAGAGACTGACGAATCACTAGTTCAGCGGTTTGTTAGCTTGATCTATAAAAAACCTACCTGAGCTAACCAGGTTAGGATATTTAATTATTTGGTATTTATTGGTACTTACAAGACAACTACTGTTGTTGTTGTTCCCTTGGGTTCCTAGTGGAACATAAAGCTTCAACTACACGTCTCCACTTGCTTCTGTCCTCTGCTATACTTTTCACGTGCATCCATGGTAGTCCATACTGTTTCATCTCCTCTTCACACAATCTCCTCCATGTCACCCATCGACGTCAGACTCGCCGCTTCCCTTTCGGGTTCCACTCGAGCGTTGGCCCAACGTGCAATGTCACCCAGTGGCCTCCTCAGAGAGTGTTTAATCCATCTCCTCTTTCTCCTGCATATTTGTTGGGCGATTCGCTCTTGTTTTGTTTGTTTCCATAGTTTCTTGTTGGTGATTCTTTCCGGCCATCTGATCTTCAGTAGTATAGAGCCAGCGAAGATAGTTGTTGATAAAGGTCTGCAACAGACTGTTGGAAATATTCTTTGTGACCCGCCAAGTTTCTCATCCGTATAGAAGAACTGACTGACTTGACGTTTGTATTGAAAATCCGAATCATTTTGTTGTTGATGCTGAGTGACAGCGGAAGATTTCCAGATTGGTTTCAGGTTGATGAATGTGTTTCTCGCCTCTCCTATTCTCGATTTGACATCCTCGTCCATTCCTCCTGTAGTTGGACAACTACTGTAAGAAAGAAAAATATAACTTAATCAAACTACCACAGCCATTTCAACTGCTCCCACACAGATTCCCAGCACTTTTCTACGCCATGTCTTCTCAACTCTTTGACTACCTGGCTGGCAGCCTCCTCCCAACCTCGTACATTGTACGAACATGCCACATCCCCATTGTTATTCTTACTTTCATCGAAAGAAGACATGTTGGCTGGCTGACTGGCTTCCTCAAGGCTTTCATCGGCAGGCTGTGTCATTTCGTCTTTCTGACTCCAATGAAGAATATGCTTGTTTTTTTTATATTTTTAGTATTTTTTTATGTGCGTTGAAGTTTCTGTAACAGGTTGATTGATTTTCTGGGGAAGGATAGTTAGCCCCACGCTGAACCCTCCCTCTATTCCCGGGCTTGGGACCGGTTTGAAAACTGGGCGAAGTTCCTGAATCAATCGTTCAGCAAATATGTAGGAGAAAATGGAGATAGATTGACCAGGCATACATTGAGCAGGCCGTCGATTGACATCACTTGTCAGTCAGCCACGCCATCGCTTGAGTGGAACCCGAGTGAGAAATGACGATCTGGTCATCCAACGGTGACATGGAGGAGATCGTGTGACGCGGAGGAGGAGATGAGAGATTATGGGCAATCGTGGGCCCAACCAGCTGAAGAGGACAACAGAGAATAGGAAAAAGTGGAGACGTGTTCCTGAAGCCCTATGTTCCAGTCGTCACTCAGGAGATCAGATTGAAACGGAGTTATTCAGTCAGTAGCTTAAAGGCCTCTCAATCACATCATCTATGTTGCATTGCTTCTGTTAAACTTAAAAAAATATTTCCCCCCTCCCCCCGTATCTACGGATGAGGAATGAAATACTAATAAATTTACTTCACACTGATCATGTTTCAGTCACACGTTGGACTAATAGCAGTCCTTTAAATGCCGTCAGGGAGAACATGACCACATGTAATCATCACTATATCACATAGAGAAATCCACATACACACACTTCATGTGAATAGAAGCACTTTGAACTCATTATCTTCAGTACAGAATTTTATTGTTCTCAAACCCACCCAACCTTATCTCACTCTCTGTGTTTTCAAGATACACTTAACAAAAACACATGCATTATAATATAGGTTTATGTATTTCCCAATGAATGAAAAACAAAACGATATTATTGTTTTTACTGACGTTTCGCTATTTAATGCTAATAGCTTTATCAAAGTATTATTAAAACGGAATTTACAAAATCTCAGCATATATATAAATATATATATATATATATATATAACAAAGAGTTAGGGGGTGAGAAAATAGACTTACGTCAAGATAAAGCGACATATTGAAAGTCAAAATACCAATGAAGATCACTAAACCAAATAACAAAGGTAATAGTACATCTGTTATGGTTTTATGAGTTGATCACGGACTGATATCAGTTAGAGAACCATTGAAAACCAGGGAGCACTGGACAGCTGCTGTTTCATCCTAGTTTGGGAATCATCGGCAGTACGCACCCACTGGGATTCGAACCCAGGACCTTCCGGTTACAAGGCAACCTCGTATACCATTCAGCCACTGGGACCCGATTCTATGGCTCATGAATTCTAACTTCTACCAATTCGTGATTTTAGCGCGACCCCAACTATTGTCGTTGGTGGGACATCCATCCACACACGTGACTTCTAATTGGACCTCACTGGTCACAACTTCTCACTAGAACTCCAGGAAGCTCCAACCTGAAGCAAGTCACTAGCGAGCATCCCACACGAGCATTTTGAAATAGTGGTGAGATTTTGTCAGCGATCAGCCCGTTGGAAGTGATGTAACTTCCCAAATAGCGGAGTGATCAACAAACACACTCTGCCACTTCCTTGTGACACGCTGTAACTCAATTAAATCCCGACTGTATCACTGTATCTGTTATGGTATCAAAATAAAGTTTACTAACTTGATCATCGTTCGTCTCTCTGGGGTCATTTTTCGTTGTCAAGTTGGTCAATTGGTAAAGATAACAAAACCAGGCGTAGATTGTTGGATTTGATCAGTGTGTAAAATTATAAAAACAGCGTGTGTGTTTACATAGTGAACTTGCTTATCACATCCGTGTTGATTTTGTCACATCATGGGGGAGGGAGGTGTTGTAACCAGGTCAGATTCTGTTTTAGTCCATCATTCCTATTCAGGCAATTTGGATTCCACTTGATATGAAGTGCTTCTGACGAGATTAGACGTTCTTTGTGATTTCTGAAGTTTTTCTGGATTATTTCAATATTGTCAAAATCAATTTTGTGGCCTGATTCTATAGCGTGTAGAGCACCACCTATGGTTGATGATTTTTCATGCTTTTCTGTTTCACTAACTGGATTTCTCGGTGGTTGGTTGAACAAATGCTCTAAAGGTGGTCAATTCTTCTGATTTCGATTTCTCGTGATGTTTGCTCCATGTATATCGCATCATATTCCAAGCATTTTATTTTATAGACACAAATAGACAGAGAATCTTCAGGGATTTGGTCTTTTACATGGACAAGGTTGTCTCGCAGTGTGCCTAATGTTTTGAAGAGAACTGTGATGTCGAGCTTATTGAGTACTCTTCTGATATCATCTGACGTCTCCACTCTATATGGAATGACAACTATTGCGGTCCATGTTTTCGGAATACGTTTTCTATCATACTTTATGTCAGTGTTGATTTTGTTGATGAAGTTCGTTGGGTAGTTGTTTTGCTTGAGGAGAGTTTCAGTAATGTTTGACATTTCTTCTTCTTCAATATGTCCTTCTTTTAACTTGACCTAAGTCTACTTTTTCACCCCTCAACTCTTTGTTATATAAATGCTGAGATTTTGTAAATTCTGGTTTAATAATACTTTGATAAATCTTCTAGCATTAAATAGCGAAACGTCAGTAAAAACAATAATATCGTTTTGTTTTTCATTCATTGGGAAATACAATAAAATCTTTATTATAATGAATATGATATACCCAATGCCCAAATGTTTTCAAACTGTTAAAAGTGAACTTGGTTTGGACATAGACACATGCAATTTAGACTTTCCAGTTGATTGATTGGACCGAAGTGTTGCTCGGTCTCTGTTGATATGTCGGCTCCTTTGTACAGTCAGTCAGTCAGTTGTGATTAGAATATTTTCAAGAGTTAATTTTTGTAGCCATTTGATTTGTCTCAAATTTGCCAACGGATTGATATCAGTTAGAGAACCATTGGAAAACCAGCTAGGAGTATTGTATAGCTGTTTCGTCCTAGCCTGGGACTCATCATCATCATCAGTACGCACCCGTCGGGATTTGAACCCAGGGCAAGCTCATAAACCATTTCACAGCTACTGGGATCTAATTCAATGAATTCCAACTCCTCCTCTAGCGTTCGCGCAAGTCAATATCATCGACGGCGAGTAAGTAATTGTTGTCACTCTCGTGACCGACCGAGTGAACACTCACTGATGATGATTAGAACAACTTTAATGTGTAAAATAATAATAATAAATGATAATGAATGCACATGCTTACTTTTATCTGTTGTTAAACTGAGAAGAAATGATAGCAGAAGTATTGATATACTTATCTTTTGAAAGTATCTACGTGGAATTTCTTCAGGCATGAATAATAGGGGTGAATTCATTTCAACGTCAATAGAGCTTAAATTCTACAACAACAACAACAAAAAGGCAAAAGAAGTAGGTAGGTATGAGTAAAACTCACATCAGATGATATGCATTATTAATCAACAGAAAGATTTTCAACACCTTAGTATGTTTGCATGGAGGATTTCATTATGAGCTGACATCAGTTAGAGAACCAATGGAAAACCAGCTGAGAGTACTGGACAGCTGTTTCGTCCTAGTTTGGGACTCTTCATCAATACGCACCCACCGGGGTCTGCGAGGTCGCCTTGTAACCAGAAGGTCCTGGATTCGAACTCCGCAATGTGGGTGCGTACTGATGAAGAGTCCCGAAATAGGACGAAACAGCTGTTCAGTACTCCCTGCAGGTTTTCCAGTGATTCTCTAACTGATGTCAGCTCATGATGAAATCCTCCATGTAATCAAACAAAATCCCTACAAAACCAATACCTTAGTATGTATTAATTATCCTTTTGACAACAACATCAAACCAAAAGTTCAGAGATTACCAAAACATTATTGGTACTAGGAGAAAAAAAGGAACTTTACGTGAACCTTGATTTCAAGGAAAACTCAACCTGTAATATCCTCAAGACAAGAATTTTATTATCTTAGAGAAGAACATTCTACGTCCGGACGCTTAGAGTAGTAGTAGTAGTATTGTTCTCCAGTCGTCCATTAGTAAGCAGAAGCGAAGGATTAAGGACAAAATCTCGTAACTGACCAGTTCTATGTGCATATATCAATTCACTTGTTGCTGTGTAGCCAGGCACATTGGTTGTTCGATGCGTATCCTGTCAAGAAGGGTTCAACAATGCTATCCTACAGGGTTGGAGGAAAGCAGTACTGGCTCTATAAGGAGCAGGATAATTGAACACCTTGTCTACACAGGTTATTCCATCTCAACAAACGCCGCCTCCTTCAAAGTAATCTACACACAGTGAAGAACGACCTGCCAAAGGCAATAGACTTTCGTATCTTCGGCATTTCTGATGCTTTCTGTCTGTCTATCTGTTTTCAACATAGAACTTTGCACCGATGTGCAGCAGTTCAAGTCGCCACATTCCATGTAGCACACAAAGCAAGAGAAGAAATGCATAATAGAGACAGTAGACAGGGATATGAGACAAAAACAATAGTAATAAGGAAGAACGATATAGTCTTATTGGAAATTATAAGTCACAAGGAGTGAATGCATCTGCTCCATTGAGAACGATTTTGAGCAATTTCACCGATTGTCTCCAGTCTTCATTGATTTTTACCGTCCCGAGGACCCCAGCCAGTCAGGAAGTCTACATCTTCCTATGTGGCTGGCTTAAACTAACTGTTGTCGATTTTATTTGACTGGTGCAATGTTTTGGTTTGACCGCCGCTAGCTCTTTTCCAGCCTAATCCTATGTCAGCTAACATTGCCCGTCGAGGAAGGCGATGACTAGGCATGCGTAACACATGTCCTAACCATTTCAGTCGATGTAGTTTCACAGCCTCGTCGATTGATTTCCCCTCACACCTACCCAGCACTCGACACCTAACCACCATATTGCTCACCCCATTATACCACTTCACACGGGAGATAGAACGCAGGCACCTATGATCAAAGACAAGTGGTTAACCAGCCTTTTCATGTCTTCCACTCTCAATGGCGAGGTCTCACAGCCATAAAGGAAGACGGGGCGGACTGCTGAGCAGTACACACCACACACCCTTTGGTTGACAGTCAGCCGGATATCACGTCTACGCCAGAGACGGCGTAAACTGACAATGCGAAACTAGACCTCAGTATCCGTGCTGAGATTTCGTCAGCGATCAACCCGTTGGGGGCTGATACTTTAGCCATTCATCCGATTGAGACCTTAGAGCTTTGTATACGAAAGAAAATTATTGAGTAATTTATGCTACCATAGTAACAATCTTATTGATTTCTATTGACCTGGATTTTGTTTGTTTATTTGTTTTCCTAACTCTTTATAGCCTTATATTGATTTAGAGCTCTTATATAATTCCGTATTTTCCTTCCTTTCCTATTTGTGCATCCTGATTACAACTCACTCACATTAAGTTACTCACCTTATTACATAACTCCAATACACTTATTCAACTCCGATTATGCATTGACTAATATTCACAACTATATTAGATGGTTGGAGGCAATCGGCCACAGGAAGCCTCACCTCTGACCTAGATTTCGTGCTAGTTGGCACGGCACTCGTCAGCAAGGCGTATCTGCAACCAGCTTGAAGGAACTCATATCCCTTCTGAGGTTCAAACCCGTGTCATCCAGTGAGTACTGTAGTCAGAGACGTTACCACTGAGCTATTCAAGCTCACGATTGACCTCCTGTAGGACTGACTGTAGTGGATACTTTGATTGAACACTAGTCAGTAACTAGTGTAATGTGTGTAGCTAGTCCTTTCTTTAGTGCAGACTGAATTCTATCAATCCGGTTTGCAATGTGGCCACCATTGAGCTAGGTGGCTCACCATTACGGTGCACATTGATTTGATGATATTAGATGGTTGCAGATACGCCTTGCTGACTGATGAGTACCAACTAGCAAGAAACCTAGGTCCAAGGCTTCCTACCAATTGCCTCTAACCATCTAATACCATCAAATCAATGTGCACCGTGATGGCGAGCCACCTAGTGGAATGGTGGCCACATTGCAAACCTGACTGATAGAATTCAGTCTGCACTAAAGAAAAGACTACATACACACATTACACTAGTTACTGACTAGTGTTCAATCAAAGTATTAGCAACTATAAATTGTGACAACTTATCACTTTTGTGAAAAAATCGTAATAAAAAAAATGCGATTGTACAGTTAGATTAGAAAATAAAAATTGTCGAACTACTTTGTTTCGTCCTTTTCATTAATGCCTGGGTGACGATTATTCATGAATTGTTCTTTAATTTTTATTGTTGTTCAACGACAATCATCAACAGGACTTCTCTCTACTAGTCTTGCAGAGACCTACATCTTATTGATCCTTTTGTGAATAGTAGGAAATCTTTTTAAGACAATTATAACAACACAGTGTGATTGCCAGTCAATACTTCAATGACATAATAATCACCGAGATACTCAATTGCTGTTACACAACACAGCTAAACTTGGATGCTTAAAATGTTAACTGATTGGTAGTTAATTATTGGGGACAAATTTTTCCAGGTAGCAGGATGTATGTAACACTTATCCTGAGAAGGTTGATGATACTCTGTAGATAACCAGACATGAGTTAGGAGATAGAGATTTGAAACCGGTAGTCTTCCCCCACCCACTCACACACACACCACCTCCAATTAGGAGTCAAAGCGTTGATAACACCTTTATGAATAATCTTCAACAACAGGCGACTGCATTTTCGATTCTGTTAGTGTTATTAGATAAATAGATAACCTTGAAGAAGTACTAAGCCTTTCACTTCTATAACAGTACAATAAGGGAAAGATTGTTTGAAAAAGTTCTTGCTGAACAATCGAATCACAAATATTTATACTTAATGAACCCACATGATTCTTTCTATTCACGCATTTTAGATAAATTGAAACTTATTTTCTGAAGGTGAAGGGAATTATTATTATTGTTCCTTGGCTCCTAGTGGACATAGGACTTCAACTGCACGTCTCCACTTGCTTCTGTCTTCTGCTGTACTTCTCACCTGCATCCATGTTAGTCCACACTCTTTCAACTCCTCTTCACCCGATCTCCTCCATGTCATTCTTCGACGTCCCACTCGCCGCTTCCCTTTCGGGTTCCACTCGAGCTATGGCCTGCCACGCGATGTCACCCAGTGGAGGCCTCCTCAGCGAGTGTCCAATCCATCTCCACTACCTCCTGCATATTTGTTGGGCGATTGGTTCTTGTTTTGTTTGTTCCCATAGTTTCTTGTTGGTGATTCTTTCCGGCCATCTGATCTTCAGTATAGAGCGAAAACAGCTGTTGTTGATAAAGGTCTGCAACAGGCTGTTGTAAATATTCTTTGTGACCCGCCGCCAAGTTTCTGATCCGTATAGAAGAACTGACTGACTTGACATTTGTATTGAAAATCCGAATTTTGTTGTTGATGCTGAGTGACGAAGATTTCCAGATTGGTTTCAGGTTGATGAATGTGTTTCTCGCCTTCCCGATTGTTGATTTGACATCTTCGTCCGTTCCTCCTGTAGTTGAGACAATGCTCCCTAGCTAGATAAGTGAATGAAGTAACCTCTTTCAAATATCTCGCGTTGATGGTGATTGGCGCTGGATGTTGCTGTTGTTGTTGGTTGGTTATTTGCATAACCTCCGTCTTTTCTATGTTTACCTGGAGTCCTGTCTTTGCTGCTGTAGCTTAAAGAGATTCGATCAAATTCAAGGTGACATACGCACTGACATCAGTTAGAGAAGTGTTAAAAGTCAGGAAGTACTGACAACTGTTCCACCTTAGTTTTCAACTGGTCAACCGTTCACAAGTCCTTCAACCCTTCTACCAGTGTTCGGGTAATGAGATGCACCGATTGACCATTTACGATTTGTCGAAAATTAGAAGTTATGTGGCGCCGATCATTGAATTCCATCCTAATGGTTGACCAGTCAACGGATTCTTCTAGTAACCCTAAAGCCTTTGGCTCGATTCCCGGTAGGCAGCTGGGAGTCATGGAGTAAGTGAGTACTGCTGAAAAGTTTTCTCCCAGCAGATATCACGTTATAACCTAACTTGAAACTAATAAATATATTTAAATTGAAAAGAAAGCTAATTTTTTTCAAGTATTGGTTTTGTAGGAATTTTGTCTGATTGCATGGAGGATTTCATCATGAGCTGACATCAGTTAGAGAACCACTGGAAAATCTGGGAGTACTGGACAGCTGTTTCGTCCTAGTTTGGGACTCTGCTTCAACAGTACGCACCCACCGGGGTTCGAACCCAGGACCTTCTGGTTACAAGGCGAGCTCGTAGACCATTGAGCAACTGGGACCCGATCCAATGGTCCTTGAATTCTAACTTCTGCCAATTCACGACATAGCGCGACCATTTCGCAATGT